CTGTCTCTCTCTCTCTGTCTCTCTCTCTCTCTCTCACTTGCAAATTCAGTCTGTTTACAGTATGAGCTGAGGACTCTTACTTTGAAGAGGCAAAACTCTTATTTTGAAGAGTCCTCAGCGCGCGGTCCAGCGGAAGTCGATCTGTAGCGGAAGTGTTGTTGTTGTGTTGACGGTGTGAACAGCAGCGGACTCACCTGGAGAACAGGTGTGAAGGTGCAGAGTCATCGCGGTCACACGCAGCTCCGCGGTGAACCGGGTCGATGCGCGTTAACCGAACCTGGGTCATAAACCCGCGCGATCCGTGGTCGCGCTTTAGAGGATAATCGTGCTAACTGTGCTAATTCCACCGTGCTAACTGAACCCGGTTCCGGACCAGGTCCTCCCGTCGCTGCAGGTGACGTCCTGCAAACCGTCCGGTCCGAACCGAGCCGGACTGAAGCGGACCAGCGGTGTATCTGGACCCGGTCCTGCGGTAACTTGCTCCCGGGCCACACAGGCCCTGATCCGCTCCACAGACCGGAAACGGGTCTTTGAATGATCTCGGATCCGGATCGAAGTTAAAAAAAACCGAACCGTCGAGAATTTGAACCATAAAGTATCTTCATCGATCCAGGATCAGGTCGGATACATCCGGTTTATAAAATAAGAGTGTGCTGTCAGGAAGTGGGAGGAAATTTCAAATTAAAATAAACCAGTCGTGAATCCTATTTTATCACAATAAAAACCGGTTCATGAAGAACAGGAGGTGAGACCTCGTCCCCTCAGTAACGTCCAGCGATGATTCCAGGAAGTATAAATCATCCAAACACGACTGGGTCATTATTAATCAACCTGCTGGTTATTTATGGTTCAAACGATTTGTCGTTCCCCGTCATCAGTCGATATTCCCCTCGTTGTGATTGACAGTCGATCAGCTGAGTGAACGAACCTGTGCGTCAGCAGCAACGTGTGTCTGTTGACAGTCTCTGCAGGTCAAAGATTCTCTCCCCCTGGTGGTCATGGCTCTGATCTCTCTGGAAGACCTCGATGGATTGGACGACGAGCAGTTGGATGATGACATCACTGACAACCCTGAGCCAATGGATGAAGAGGATCGAGACAGGCTGCTGGCCCATTGGCAGGCGGTCGCCAGTACCCACCAGGTGTCTGTACCTGCAGGTGAGGGGGCGGGGTCATAACCACCTTCAGAATAAAAGCACATCAGTGAGAAAGAACTTTATTTGAAAATGACTAAAGGTGATTGTCCTCGTGTTTCAGAAATGACCGAACCCATACAGGAGATGACCCGCAACAGTCAGCAGAGGGAGCCCCTCCCCTTTACTACAATATCCTGCCATGAAAAGGTAACGTGTACCGACAGGCCAGGTGTGTTTATATGTGTGTGTGTGTATGTCTGTGTACACATATTTGTGTGTATTGATGGATGAGGCGTGTCCCCTGCAGATGGGGGAGGTGCTGTGGGAGGAGCGGGTGTATCCTGCCGGACACTGGGCGTGTGTGACCAGAGGAGAGGATCTGTACGAACAGAGCATCGCCAACGCCTTCATGAAACTGATGCGCTTCATCTGTAAAGAGAACTCTGCAGGTCAGACTCCGCCCACCACACGCTCCTGTTATCCCCACCCACTGATCACTGATCATTCTGGAACGATCTACATAGCCCCTCCCACAGGAACTGGTTTTCAAGGTCACACATGGTGAACGTTCATGGTGTAAACTTTTCACTGATCACGTATTGATCGTGTTCAGGTCGATACCTGGGCATGACGGTGCCGGTCATCAGTAACATCCACCTGAAGGAGGATGGAACCACGCTCAACAAAGACGTCCAGACTTCCTTCTTCCTGCCTGCTGAGTTTCAGACCAACACCCCCCCCCAACCCTGCGACCCCGACATTACCATCGTCCACAGAGAGCCAATGAGAGTCATCGCCAGGTCAGAGATGATACATACATTATATAA